CTGTCATCTATCTTCTATCTGTTATCTATATATAGTGATTTTACAATTTTCTTGTATGACATAAAATATCTTGTCAGTATTCCCCAAACGATAGCATAAGAATTGTTTGCACAAATTCACACTACATTAATGATGATTAATAACCTAGAGTTCATTTATAGTGCATGGAAGGATGTGGTAAGCTGTATGCAAGTACCACACCCTTTTATAGAAATAACTTAAACATCTGCAGATTTGGGTGTTCACTGAGGGTCTGGGAGTCAATTTCCCATCCTATTAAGGGTTGGGGCAGCTGAACTTGGTACCTTGCTCTGGTCAGTTCAGCATCCTGGAATGGGTAACAATTACGGAAACCTCTGCAAAAGGTTCCTCTCCTTCCTCCCAGAAGGCAGTTTTGAAGGTGGTTAAGACATAGTGTCTGTAAACCGCAGGAACGTGATGGGTTCCAAGGAAGTGACTTTTATGAAGTGGTGTACTTAACTACTACTTTATAAAGGGGCGAGAAGGACCATTTATTTCCTCGGGATTAAATTCTGGCAGCCATGAACTCATAAAACTATAAGAAATGGTTGACTGTACTTAATGGGCCATTTGTTGCCTTAAAAATCAGTGGTACTAAATATTTATTAGCTGAGTGGAAAGATCTATCTCCGTAAATTGCTGTGACTCATCTTTTCACTAATCCTGGTTATTTAGAATTTTTTTGTTTATAAAAATGAAGTCATAAGTTATTAAGTTTTTCCTTTTTGAGAATTGTTTTGAATATGTTAGGTTCTTTACTGTTGACCTACGTTTTAGAAATAGGTTATCAGTTTCAACCAAAACTCCCAAGACTTTTCATGGGAAGTTTGTTGACCCTCCTCATCCACTGGGAAGAAGAAACTTCCCAGCATGGAGTCTTCAAGCCACCAATAGTATTTCTCTGTATTTGATCTAGCACTTATTTAATTTGTTTTGACAGCATTTTGGAGCATTCAGTGAACAGTTCTTGTGCAACTTTTGTTAAATATTTCCCTAAGTATTTAATATTTCTGATGTTGTTATAATGATATTTGTAAGTTTTTATTCTAAGTTGTTTACTGCTAATGTACAGAATCTAACGGATTATGCGTATTGACCTGTTTTCCTGTGGTACTGATAAACTCACGTATCACACCATGCTCTCCTTTCCAACCTCCATGTCTTTTATTCCTCTCCCTTGCCTCTGTGTGTGGGCCGTTACCAAAGAACGGCCAATTCCAGTAGGAAGAGCCAGGTCTTGGCCCCGCAGAGACTTCCCATACTGGTAACTTCTGCATCACTTCTAGGCAAAGGGAGCAGTGCAGGTGCAGGGTGACACCTCTGGAGGTGTGCTAGACCTGCAGCCTTCTGGTGGATTGGGTGACACCTCTGGAGGTGTGCTAGACCTGCAGCCTTCTGTGGATTGCGTGACACCTCTGGAGGTGTGCTAGACCTGCAGCCTTCTGGCATACTGGGTGACACCTCTGGAGGTGTGCTAGACCTGCAGCCTTCTGGTGGATTGGGTGACACCTCTGGAGGTGTGCTAGACCTGCAGCCTTCTGGTGGATTGGGTGACACCTCTGGAGGTGTGCTAGACCTGCAGCCTTCTGTGGATTGGGTGACACCTCTGGAGGTGTGCTAGACCTGCAGCCTTCTGTGGATTGGGTGACACCTCTGGAGGTGTGCTAGACCTGCAGCCTTCTGTGGATTGGGTGACACCTCTGGAGGTGTGCTAGACCTGCAGCCTTCTGTGGATTGGGTGACACCTCTGGAGGTGTGCTAGACCTGCAGCCTTCTGTGGATTGGGTGACACCTCTGGAGGTGTGCTAGACCTGCAGCCTTCTGTGGATTGGGTGACACCTCTGGAGGTGTGCTAGACCTGCAGCCTTCTGTGGATTGGGTGACACCTCTGGAGGTGTGCTAGACCTGCAGCCTTCTGTGGATTGGGTGACACCTCTGGAGGTGTGCTAGACCTGCAGCCTTCTGTGGATTGGGTGACACCTCTGGAGGTGTGCTAGACCTGCAGCCTTCTGTGGATTGGGTGACACCTCTGGAGGTGTGCTAGACCTGCAGCCTTCTGGTGGATTGGGTGACACCTCTGGAGGTGTGCTAGACCTGCAGCCTTCTGGTGGATTGGGTGACACCTCTGGAGGTGTGCCAGACCTGCAGCCTTCTGGCAGACTGGGTGACACCTCTGGAGGTGTGCTAGACCTGCAGCCTTCTGGTGGATTGGGTGACACCTCTGGAGGTGTGCTAGACCTGCAGCCTTCTGGTGGACTGGGTGACACCTCTGGAGGTGTGCTAGACCTGCAGCCTTCTGGTGGACTGGGTGACACCTCTGGAGGTATGCTAGACCTGCAGCCTTCTGGTGGATTGCTCCACCGGGGTGGGTTGGTGATTCAATTGGGCTGCATTTTGGGCTAGATCATGTACCAACCCAACCGCTGGCCCTCTTCCATAGTAGTTATGGGGTAACAGCTGGGAGACAGAGGCATGGTTATGATCAGAAAAATGGGGCTGCCCTTATAGCTTCTGCCTAATTAGGCTGGTGCAGGAGTGGTCACAGTGACACTGTGGGGAACTCCAAGACCCACATGAGTTTGCATAGGTCACACTTCCACCTATGTCCCCTCCTCTCCTCTCTCCCTGTTGTCTCACTGATGTCTGAAGTGCTCACACCTGCCCAGAGGCTCCTTCTGAAGAGCCAGTTCTTTGCTTTTTAAAGTATATTCTATGACTGGGTTAAGCACTTCCTGGGTAGGAACTCATAAATTCAGCATAGCAGACACCAAGGTCAGTGTTGTAATCATCCCATGACCAGCGACTAAGCTTGGAGGAGTTTGGTGATGTAACTGAGGCCACACAATAGTGGGTGCTGTGCCCAGAGCCATCAGTGACCATCTGAGGGCAGAGCATGTGTTTGGCATTCTGCCTTTGATGAGGGGCCTAGAGACTGCACCCTCTATCCCTCACATCCCCCAGAGAACAGGTTTTGGCAGAGCTGCCAGATGTCTGTACCTGGGTTAACCATGCTGCAAGGAGGATGGGGGACTGCAGTTGAGGTCAGAGCAGTAGGGCCACCAGGATGTCTGTAGACCATTAGGCAGCAGCTGCCCCCTCCAGTTAAGTGGAGCCCCCAGCCCTGTGAGCCTCCCTCTGCTGCAGATGAAGGAACCACACATCTCTTCTCTTTAGGTTGACTGGCATTCTGCCCATCTTTGAACAATTAGTTGGGCATTGCTGCGTTCAGTTGTTTCTGTTTAGTCTTCCTGTCCAAGTGAAGGTGATGGATGTCAGTGGCCACCTCTGCACGATTAAGACTTGTCACTTAACTATGTCACTGTCTGTCCTCCCCCAGTTTCTTCAGCCTTGTCTGCAGAGTGGGAGAGCCCTGTACCCACTCCGAACTCCACATGCTTTTTGTCTTGCTGCCCCCTGTCAGGCCAAGAGTGAGAATCAGGAATCAGAGATCAAACCATAAGGACAGACCCCACAGCTAGAGGGGGTCTAACTAGAGGCAGTGGCCTCACTTTACCAGTGAGAAAATGGAGGCTACCCTGTGGACTGAGGATGAACCTCAGACCTTCCTATAACCAGGCCAGATCCCTCTTGTGGCTTTCCTGGTGGGCAGACCCTGAGCCACTTTCTATGTGAGAAAGCACTCACTTCTCATTTGCATGGAGAAATCCCATGTTCATGTCCACCCTGATATGGTCAGATCGTCTCACGCCCAATGTGCTGCATCAGAAAGAAGAAGTGAGTTAATTATTCTCTATGGCAAGACTCTAGTGGCTGAACCTCTTGGGGGGTTTCAGAGCACCACATGCAGCCAGGTTGCTGGCCAGCTGGAGTCGAGGTGCCTCTTCGCCCTTGCTGGGGAAGCTGGCCCCAGGAAGCCCAGATGCACTTGTTTACAGCCATCTCTGGGTGATGTTTGCCAGACTCTGTGTTTAGAAAGAACATTTCTATAGTTCTGTCTTCTGTTTGAGTGTGCTGGGAACACAGCAGTTAATCACAGTTACCTGGAAACCTGAGAAAGGAGTGGATTCCGATGATGCCACTTGAGATGGAAAGGTTGTGTATTTGGTGAAACCGTGGAGTTGGGGTGGGGCTTTCCCCGATTTTCCTGTTATCTATGCTTTCTATTAAGACCATTTAGTATCTGTGGAAAGATCATTTAAAGTCTGTAAGCCCCAGTTTTCCCAAATACAATAACTATACTTATTTCCTTAATCCACAAGAAGGTAGAAAATTAAAGGAGGTGGTACACAAAAGGGCTTTGAAAGCAGAAATAATAAAAGGCTGCTATCATGAATTTATCAAATTAATTACCTTCCCTAGAAAGATCGGTCCTTTTCCTGAGCCTGAGAACTTCATACTGTGCAAAGAGAGATCAGATTTCATGGCTTTATCAAGCAGCTTACAGTGGGGAGCCAGGCCAGGGGGGGCCCTTTGTTCATGAAGGCTTCTGAATCCCTTCTAGCAGAGAAAGCTGGTCCTTGCATGACTTGGTGCCCAGTAATGTCCAGTTGGGATACTGTGGATGCTGGGAGCACAGAAATCAACCCAAAGATGTCCTGGAGCTCCTGGGGGAGCGTGGGGACATGCAGCTGTGATGGGTCACAAGAGGACCTGAAAATGTCCAAGTTCTTATTTATAGCCTAGAGCCTGGGGAATGGTTGTTTTCTTCGCACTGAGACATTGAGACTCTGTGTGTGTGTGTGTGTGTGTGTGTGTGTGTGTGAAGTACAAGTATGTGTATATGTATTTGTGTGTATGAGCATGCTCAAGTGTGTTGTGTGTATATGTATGTGTACAGAGCGCAGGCATACGCTTGGAAGTATGTGTTTGTGCATATGTTTGTGTTTGTGTGTACACTTGTGTGTGTGCATGTGCATTTGTGCTCTAAAGCATTTTGGCTCCCTCTGACCCCCTCTTGCTCCAGCCCTCAACACAAAGCCCAGCATCACTGAATGTCTTATATTTGTTTTTGTTTTCAGGGCAGGAAGACCCCAACAGTTTGCGTCATAAGTACAACTTTATTGCTGATGTAGTGGAGAAGATCGCCCCTGCTGTGGTTCACATCGAGCTGTTTCGCAAGTAAAAAGGGCATTTCTTTTTTCCTGTAACTTCTGAAATGTTCACCGCCATTAGCAAAACATCAGAGCTATTTTTGAAGCACATTAAAGTGTCAAAAATGTCACTGGGTAGATTCCTATGTTATGATAAACGTTTCTCCCTTAGGACATTTTTCTATCTGACTATTTAAATCTACATTCTTGGCCCTTCAGATGTTTTAAGAGCCTCTGGCTCTGAAGAGATTCCCTGAGAATATTTTCTAAATGGAATTTTTTTGATGTATTGCAAAAAGTGGCTTAATATTTTTTAAACATTAAACCCAGTACAGAGTGACACTTGCTAATGTGTGTTGGTTGCTTGTGAAGAGCCATTTACCTGTGTGTGGAAGTGAAGAGTTTGAGGTGTTTCAGGCTTAACTGATCTCCTCTGTTCTAGGCTTCCTTTTTCGAAGAGGGAGGTGCCAGTGGCTAGTGGGTCTGGGTTTATTGTCTCCGAAGATGGACTGATTGTGACAAATGCCCATGTGGTGACCAATAAGCACCGGGTTAAGGTAGAGCTGAAGAATGGAGCTACCTACGAAGCCAAAATCAAGGATGTGGATGAAAAGGCAGACATTGCACTTATCAAAATTGACCACCAGGTGAGAAGCTTCCTGTGCGCTGGAGCGGAGCACATCCCCACCCGCAGAACCCAGTTCTCGGCTGCCAGAGCTGGGGATGCCAAGGACGCTAGAGCTCTCTGGTTTCTTCTCTACATCAAAAAGGGGCCTGAGAAGTGGAGGAGGGGAAGAAAGCTTCTAGAAGAAGCTTGTGCTCAGATAAGAGGTTTTTTGTTTTTTGTTTTTTTTTTTAAATAGCACTTTATTTTTTATTTTAATTTTTGGTCTTTTTGAGACAGGGTCTCTCTGTAGCCCCAGCTGGCCTGGAACTTGCTACCTAGACTGGGCTGACCTTGAACTCACAGAGATCTGCCTGCCTCTGCCTCCCAAGTGCTGGGATTAAAGGCATGTGCCACCATACCCAGCTTAAAAATCGCACTTTAACTTTATAACATAAGCAACAGACTTTGAAGAAATTAATGAACAGTTGGTAAAGATGGATATTTTTATCCCTAATCTCAAGGCATTGGTTACAAATTTTTGTTCATCTCTATGGAGGTGTTGTGGGTTCACAGTGTATATAGAACACTCTGGGTTTTAGAAGGACCATCCAATGGGGTCTCACCAGCCCCCTCATATTGGGGTTTTGAGGGTTACTAGATGTGTTGTCCAACTTAAAAACATTTTAAAACTAATTCTTAATTATGCGTATGTGTCTGTATCTGTGTGGGGGAATGTGCATGTGAGTGCAGGTACCTGAGGAGGTCAGAGGTGTCAGATCCTCCGGAGCAGGAGTTCTAGACTGTTGTAAACCACCTGACATGGGTGCCGAAAACTGAACTTGGGTCTTCTGCAAGAGCAGTGTAAGCTCATAACCACTGAACCATCCCTCCAGCCTCTTGTCCAGCTTTTTATACTCAGCTTTGGGAGCCTTGAATTAAAGCAATGCAAATGGGTTTCTTCATTGTGGGAACTCCTCAGAGCCTTTAATATGCTGACGTGCGTATAGCTCACTGTGAAAGGGGTAGAGTACAATATTGCCCAAATTATAATTCTTTATGGGCTTACAACTTTGGGACAGGGCCAGGGCCAGGGTTCAAAATTAAGACATTGTGAGCTCAATTTGAGAAATGCATATATGAAATTGCATTCAGGGTGGTGTAGCTGAGCTTCCATATTTAGCCCTGTCTGGAAATAAAAATTTTTAAAAAGGCTTTCCATTTGATCTTCTAGTTACAGTTATTTTTGTTCTGATTGTTTAAAACATTTTTGTGCATAGCTTTAATCCCAGCACTCAGGAGGTAGAAGCAGGTGGATCTCTGAGTTCCAGGCCAGCTGGGACTACAAGGAGACCCTGTCTCAAAAAGACAGAGTCTCATGTAATACAGGGTGGCCTCGGACTTACTATGTAGCCAGAGTAAGGTCTTGAACTTCTGACTCTCCTGCTTCCCTCTTCCATGTGTGAGGGTTAGACGCATATGTCACCCAGCTCAGTTTAGGAAGTGCTGGGCATCCAATCCAGGATTTTGTGCATCTCCCAAGTCTTCATGCCTGAAACTAAATCCAGTTCTTACTGGATCACCCGTAGAAAGTCCCACTCCTTCTCATGTCATCACAGAAGTTGAGTTTGCTGGTGGTGGGGGTTTCATGCCTGAAACTAAATCCAGTTCTTACTGGATCACCCGTAGAAAGTCCCACTCCTTCTCGTGTCATCACAGAAGCTGAGTTTGCTGGTGGTGGGGGTTTGGTGAGATTGCAGATTCTGGTTTCTTCCTGTCCTTCAGAATTTCTAGACTTCAGAGAGGAGATAGAATCAGGTCAGAGGAAATGAGTCTTGTCCAGCTTTTGCCTACATCTCTTCATCTAGGTGTCAACTATGAAGTCAGGCGACTCTGGTATCCTACTGGCTGTTCAGCTGATGAATGGAAACAGCTCAGTGTACTGTTGGGGTAGTTGGATTCTGGGTCCTTTTTTAAATAGCATTAGGCTGCAGCCTAATCCCAGGCTCTTTCATAGGCAGCCTTTCTGAAAACTACAGGCTTACACATTAATTCCACACCTGGCCTGCTTCCTTACCATCTCAGAGTCTGGGTGGCCAGGCTGCAGCTGAAGGCTACAGTAGAAACAGGCGCTGTGACCTTTAGTGAGGTCATAGTTGTGTGTTATTCCTGCTGGGTTACCGTTGGAATTTCTGTCAACAGCTCATCTTTCTAAGTGTGTTTATTTATCACAAGATAACTGCCTTCATCTTGAACTGTCCCCTAACCTACAGGATAGCTGTATTATCCCCATTTTTCAGAGGAAGAGGAATGCTCAGAGAACTCAAGTAACCTGGTTGAGGCCTCACACCTGCTCCTCCTCACTTTTAGCCTCCTAAGATAGGCAGGCTGTAGGTTCCACGTGCCTATCTCCATGGCCATTACTGTGGAGACAGAACCCGGACTTTACATGGGCTGGGAGAACTTGACCTTAAATGGCCCAGGGGAGCATTGGCATATCCCCATGTAGTAAACTGCTAGAAAGGTGTCAGGATGTGGCGGTGTCCAGGAAGGAGGCTGGCCAAAATAGCACAGCCAGTAGCCACACATGGGACCTTCAGTCCCACTGAGCCCATGGAAGGCATCCAGCATTGGGGTCACCTGGCCAGCTGCAGGCAGGGCACTGGCCTGCACTGTGCGTGCACTGTCTCCACAGAGTGAGTTCATGTTGGAATGTGTGGGCATACACCGTGCCACTGCTTCTGGCCCAGGGATATTCTTTTCAGATTCTGAGCCAGTATGGAGACATGAGCCTCATGTTACTCCTGGTCGTAGGAGATCTCAATAGAAGAGCTGTGTGGAGGGTTTCAGGTGGTCCCTGGGAGTCTAGCTCTTCATTAAGAAGACTGCGGTTTGGCATGTGTTGCAGAACCCCCCACCCCCAGAAAGAGTGCTTGAAAATTTAAAATTGAACTGACATGGTTTTTGAAAATGGAATCGGAAATGAAAGGATATTACATTGCAGACACCCACACCGCAGGCTAATTTCCACTGACTAAACTGCTTCCGGTCCTTTCCTTCCCCACCCCCAGTTGGAAGTAAAGAGAGCTAGAAAAACATTTCTTCCAGCCTTTTCTGTTTAGTCCCTTAGAATTACTTGAGGAGAGTCTGGCCTGTAACCAAGCTTGATTTGGAAGGAACTGACCACCCAGGTGAATAATTCCCAGCAGAAGTCACTGTTTAGCTTGTGACAGAATCAGCGTGGTGGGCGGCACACGGGCTCAGAGCATGCCTGGTATTGTGTCGTCTTAGAGCCGACATCAGCAGTGAAGCTGGTCAGGGAAAGTCAGAGAAGGCAGACTAGGAGGACACAAACTGGACTCCGGGAATGGGTGTGGTGGTGCACACCTGTACTCCCACCAGGAGGAGAGGAATGGGAAAGCAAGAGCAGCCTCCACTAAGTCGTGAGTTTGAGGCCAGCCTGGGCTCCAGGCTGGAAAAGTATTCCCAAGGGCACGTTGTCATGTAACAGGATGATCCAGCCCTTCCAGAGCCTTTAAAGAGCTTCCCAGTGAAGCTTAGTGTGACCACCCGCCATGTCCACAAGCCCAGTGACTGAGTTAGTGTTTGGCTATCTGGGCCTGGTTCCTCCCCAGCATTATGAGTTTATTTGAAAGGTTCTCCATGACTCACACTGACATTGTGCTTCTTGAACATGTCATTCGTGATACCTCATGAAGTCCAAAGTGTAGTGAACATCTGATAGCCACGATGCCTGTCACCTCCCTTTTTAAGGAGAGCAACATCCAGCATCTCTTCTGAGGATCTGCTTCTCAGCCATTGGGCAGCTTGGGTAGGGCCATCAGCCACAGTGCCTCAACTCCCGTGTCCGAGATGTGCTTGGTCACGTGGCCTAGGTAGGGGAGCAGACACTCCTTGAAATTAGCCTGCAGCTGGATGCTTCCCACAGCAACAACCAGGCAAGTGGAAGCCGTCTTAGCCCCTGCTGCAGGCCAGGCCCTGGCCGAGCTGCTGTGTCTGCGCTTCCTCCCGCTCAGAGCGTGCCTCACATCTCCAGGGGCCTGAAGCTGCTTGGCTTGCAGTTGCTAGAGATGTTTCTGGGCTTGTGACCAAAAGACTCTCTTTTGCTTCTCTCTGCTGAGCTGACACGTGTGCAGTTGCTCTGCCTGCCACATTTTGAGACTCCAAAGAACTTTGGGGGAAAGGCTCACGTGGAGCAGCCCTCTGTTGCTTGGCCTGCTGCTCCACCCCCTGGCGGAGAGAGGGTGTCCCCTCTAGGGCCATTCCTCCAGCCTTGTGGGACACTCCAGTCCAAGAGCTGGAGCTCAGGGTCCTTAGTGGGACCTGTGTTGGTCTGGAGAAGGGGTGCAGCCACAGGAAGTAGGGACATCACACATGTAAACATTTTAATAGAAAGCAGCTTTGAGGGCAAACTAGTTCAGCTTGGGATGTAAACTACTTCCAAATGTGTTTAACATGAGCCACTGGCCATGTGTGCAGAATATTTTTAACTTTTATCCAAAGGCAGCTTTTTGTTCATAGTTTCTTTTTTCCTGAGCGAGTTTAGGGAGAGACACAGTCATGGGGCTGAGATAGAGGGCGATGTAAAAAGTAGACCATTTGGCATCTTTAGGCTGGAGCAGGAGCACAGTAGTGAAGGGCAAAGTGATTTGTTATGTACACAGCTGTTTTTCCAACTGTGCTGATTCTTTCAGTTGGTGTCCTGCCCGTCCTATGCAAAACCTCTGTGGCTTTCCTACTCTTCAAACAAAGTGACCTGAACTCCTTGCTGGAACTGCCTGGACTTGTTCTGGAACCCCTTCCCACATCTCTTCCCCTGACTCCTCACCAGCTCTGCTTTGCTCCCTTGAGGCCTTGAGTATTCCCTTTCCCTGGGGTGCCCCCTTTCAGCCCATAGTTGATCTTTCTTTGTTCTTCAGGTGTATGACCACATCCTGTTTTAGACCCCAGGCTATCCCTTCCCTGACTTAGTACATAGATAACTCACCACGTCTCAGTCCCTTCAACTCAACCTCTCATGGA